CTGGACATCTGTGCTATGGACAGGCTGCAGCCTGGGTGTGCTTGAGTATTCTTCCCTGAAAGTCACATTCTTTCCGAGATATTTACAATGGGAGAGATAATGGATTATTGATGAACCAATCAGCTGAGATGGCCCCTGGTGAATTAGATCCTGGCCACTGGCTTGCCTGGGATAAGAAACTATTGCTGAGCTCAGCATCATCTGGGAAAGGTCTAAATCACACCCATCACTTCCTACAAAGCCAGTAATCTTTGTTAAAGGCACTGCTGCGGCCAATTCTTCATACAGGGAAGCAACTTATTTAATTTATAGTTAATTGAAGACTTGGAGCTTTGGAATCAGATGGATGATTCCTCCTGGCTCCTCCTGTTTTCCTCACCGTGGACAATATACATGCTATTGAACAACCCCAAGTTTCAGCTTCCTAATCTATGAAATGCTAACCTCATTTTGCAGAATTTCTCTAAATAATATGTGAAATGATGAATGCAGAACATTTCACATTTTACTCAGCACTTTCACATTCACAATCTTATTTATCACAATAATCCTATATTATATACATGATTAGTTCATTTTTTACACATAAATATTACAAGGCTCAAAGACTTTGAGTATCTTACTTTAGAATCAACCCCTCCCTCATCCACAATACACATGCATTTTATAGATGAGGACACAAATATTCAAGAGCACAAAGGATTTGTTCAAGGTCACAAGGTCATTAGATAGCCAGTTTTAATAGCTTTCCATAGTACTAACTACATACATTGGTCTTTAACTACTTAATTGGAATGGTTTCTGTCTGTTTCTCTAATTGTGGCAGGTGCAACAGTGGCCTCAGTTCTCCACCCTTTCTGGTGTGCAGACCCTTTGCCATGTAAATATACCATATCTGCCTGTGCTGACTCAGAGATAAGACTTGTGATGTGCATTACTAATAAAATAATGGTATGCTGGTTCCAAGCCTAAGCCTGCAGGGGCATTGCCTGCTTTTTGTGCATCCTGGTGCCTTTGCCATTGTTTGAAGACCATGTCTGGACTACACTGCCAGAGGATAAGGGACCTGTGAAACAGAACTTAGAGCTGATTCCAAGCTGACCCCAGATACATAAACAATAAACGTACTGTCAAAAACCACTGGAACTTGTAGTTGTTTGTCATGTAGCATTGTTCTACCAAAGATAGCTGAGCCGTGAAGTTTGTCTTCTGGCACTCTCTCCCTCACTAAGTTTATTACATCCATATTGGCTTTCTTTCACTCCCTCGAACAGGGCAATCTCTTTCTTTTCTTATTTCATTTGCAAATGTGCTGCTTCACCTCGAAACCACTCCTCCCCACTCTTTCTGCACAGCTGCATACCTCTTCCTTTCTCATCCTTGAAGTTTCAGCTTCAATGCCACCAACTCAAAGAGAACTTCCTTGACCATTCTGTCTGCATTAAGACATTCTACATATCTCCTATCACTGCATCCTATTCTTTTCCATCATAGCTTTATCACAATTTTATAATCATATAATAATTTAGCTTGGTAAAGCCTACCACGACAGGGTTGGTGGCTGGATGTTTTGTTCACCACTCTCAGCACCCAACAGAATGCCTGGTACAGAGCTTGTTCTCAGTACATATTTAGTAAATAAATGCACACAGAAGAAATAAATTGGCAGAACCAGGATTTCAACTTATCACTCTTTCCTCTCTTTCTTCTGTGCCACAATTATGGCTTTATGGGAGGTTTAGGGCTTATCAGTCTTGAAGTACCCTATCTAAAATGTATGATTCTCTGATAATGTTTAGCCTGTTTAGCTAGCATCTTTTCTTTTAAATCAGTTTACACTAAAGCAAGCCGCTTAACACTTTTAGGGATTAGCTAACAGTCAGCTGAGAAGAGATATGGGAAAACAACTTGGGTTAGATCAGAATATAGGGAGATGAAAGCTTCGGGAGGTAAAAAAAAGAATCTGAGGCTAGGGCAGGAACATTTCTTGGGTTCAGTCATGGACCCATTCTACAAGGGGCAATTCTGGTTTCTGCTGTCAGCTATTGTTGAAGTAACCGACTGACACTTTGAAGTCTCCAGGTTTATTCTGAAGAGACACTTAGCTGGAGGAGTAATTTCCATCTTCATGAAGAAATACATGCATTTCATCCTGGGCCACTAGTCTCTGCTCTCTAGGGAGCAGAACTTATCATATCTGGAATCTTGTTGCTGAAGGTGTTCAACCAGAGTCACACTCTGGATCAATGTCTAGGAGGACCAAAGTTTGGGGAATCAGATGTTTCAAATTTTATTGTATGACACAAGGACAAAGACCAGGAAAATGGATGTCTGAGAATCCTGAGAAAACTGCCCATTTAGCACTGAGAGCCCTGCTAAGGAAGAGGGAAGAGGGTGGCAGAGAGATTTAATGCAGTAAATGCAAAAATCAAAGTGGAAATTCAGGCTTTCTGCAGCACGGCCAACGGAACAGCTAACAAAAACAGGCTATCTGGTGGTCCAAAAATTAAGATGGCTTTTATAGGACTGAAAGCATGGAAAGAGAATAAAACAAATCACAGAATAGATTCTACTTACTGCTCTGGTTATGTGGAACATAGCTACAAATGACCAGAAATTTCTAGCTGAGAATGTCTGATTGGGCTGTGATAACTCCACAGCAATGGTTTCTAAAGTATGCCCTCTCAAACAGATTTCTGTAATATATTAATATGAATTCTAGGGAGAAAAAAAGAGTGTCTATGTTGAAATAAATTATAAAAACATCACACGCTTTATTCTCTTGAGGAGTCACATGCAAATTTGCAAAGTTTCTGAAAAATCCTACAATAAAAGAAAATCTTTCTTAAAATTTTTTTATTTTAAATGTTCATATTTTTATAAACTCGTTTGACTATAAAACCATAGTAAATAAGAAATAAGTGAAATAAAATAGAAACAAATTCCTTCCTCTTTCATTTCTTCTTTTCTTCTATCATTTCTAATTTTTTGTTCAATGCCAGTTAACATTATTCTGCAAATCACAGACTGCAAACACCCTGACCTTGAGAATTTTTTTAATGTGTTGCATTTTGTCTTCATGGTTATAATAAAACAAACAAAATGAAACAGAATGCTTATTCATTGGCCTCCCTCCCATATACCAACTATTGCACTAAGCCTTTGTATACCCAAGCTCATTTTATTATTAAAACCACAGTGAAGCTATGGAGTGTTATCACTTTTTTTCAGATGAGAAAACTGAGGTTCAGAGAGGTGGAGTTACTTTTTGAGGGACACAGTGATGGTAAAATTATGTGGCTATGTTTAAACCCGGACAGGTTACTCTCAAGTCTGCTTTTTTGGCCACAAAGATATTATAATCTGGGAACTAAAAGGTAGTCTCCCATCCCTATCTAACCAGAAAAAAATATAATTTCTTCTTTGTAAAAAAAGCTTTTTTGTGACTATTATTTCAGCTGAGATACGCTGACCAAGGGCTCCCAATACTTTTAGTAGCTGTGTAAGTGAAACTGTAAGCCAGTGGCATCAAGCTTGGTGGGCTGAGAAAGTCGTGCCTAACAAGTTTTGTTCCTCTGTGATGCGTGGATGAGTGCAGTCGATAATTATATCCTGTGGTTACATGGTATGTAAAATGACATCTATTTACCAGTTAGTTTTATTTTTCTGAGGAAAAGTACACAGCCTGCTGAGAGTTTTATGGAGAATAAATGGTGCTGTCCTTGCCTACATTGTAGACATTATCTATCCCAACATCTCCCAGTGTCGTAATACACTGTAGGATCTTCTCTGGGCCTATGCCTTAAGTTCAAACACCACTCATACATTTCTGTCCTGCTTATGAAAATAAGGAATCCCTCCTGGTTCCTTCCACCTCATATCTCTCTTACATCTTATTTCCCATTATGTTTATACAGTACTTCAAGGATTCAAGGCCAGAAATTGGTTTCCAGCCATATTTTTGATGCTTTTGATTTGTGTGCTAAGCATTTTCTTCTTATTACCTCATTCTATTTCCCAACAACCCTTTACCTGTATAGCAGGTTCTGTTGTAAAACTTCCTACCCCCAATTTTAAAAAAGAAAAGACTGAATTTTAGTGTGCCTAAGTAACTTGGTTACCCAGCTTATCCTATTTGAATGGTTAATTCTAGGCAGACTAGTGCTATATTAGTTATCTATCACTAACAAAGTACTTTAATATATATCAGCTTAAAAAACAGCATTGATTATTTCAGTTTCAGTGGGTCAGGAATCCTGGCATAAATTAGATGATACCCTTGTCTGGAGGGTGTCTTGAAAGGCTGAAGTTCAGGCACTTGCTGAGGCTGCAGCCTCATCTGAAGGTTTGGCTGGGTAAAAATCCAAGCTCACCAATGTGGTTGTTGGCACCTAAAAACCTTACAGGCTATTGGGCTAAGCTCTCAATTCCCCAAGAGCTATTGGCCCGATGTCTTTCTCAGTTCCTTAGCACATGGACCACTACATAGAGTATCTTACAACATGGTAGTTTGCTTCATCAAAGTAAGCAACAGAGAAGACAGAAGAGAGAATGAAGGTGGCCCTATGTAGCTGTGGGCACCACATCTACAGATTCAATCAACTCTGAATCAAGAATA